GTAACATTAGATACCTCACTAACAAGATTTTGGGGGATAGAACTGAGATGCAACAAATCTTGAAACTGTTGGACGATAACAATTATGTGTCCTGGTACCGAACATGTGATGATGGAGTTACGGTTAGAGATATTTTTTGGACTCATCTTGATTCCATAAAGTATTTCAACATATTTTCGACGGTGCTCATACTTGATTCAACCTACAAGACCAACAAGTATAGACTTCCTTATTTTAGATGGTTGGTGTTAAAAAGAGGTTAATTTTACTTGGGTATTAGAGGTGTGTCGATCACTTGGTCCAAGGTGAGATGCCTAAAGCGGTTGTTACCGACCGTGATACCGTATTGATGAATTCGTTTGCAAAGGTATTTCCTTCTTATAATGCATTACTTTGTAGGTATCATATAACAAAGAATGTGAGAAATCATGCTAAACATGCGGTAGGGACAAAACAAATAGAGTCTGAAGGTGGAAAATTGGTGAAGGCGGGTGTGATTGTGGAAACAATTACAGATGCATGGAATCATATAACAAATTATTCCGCAAAAGAACTATATGTCGATTCTGTTATTCATTTTTGAAAAGTGTGTGAAAAATATCTAGATTTGTTAAAATATGTTGAAAACTTTTGTTAGACACCTTGATAATGTTAGACACCTTGGAAATACAACTACTAACAGAGTTGAACTGGCCCATGCTACTTTGAAATTTTGGTTGAGAAATAGCAAATGGGATTTGTGTAGAGACTGTGACTATGTGAACCAGGTGATTCAGAACTAGCATAATGAGATTAAAAGAAACAACATTTGGTTGGAGCATCACAGTTTTGGAACACCGATTTAAAGACAACACTTTATATTCTCATTTGGTCGGTAACATTTCTCAAGCGGGTTTGAACTATCACAAGGCTAAACTAACCTTAGGATTGAACTATCACACTTTATGCTATCAGAGCCTATATTATTAGCTCGTTTAGCCTTGTGATTGTTCAAACCCGCTTGAGAAATGTTACCGACCAAATGAGAATATAAAGTGTTGTCTTTAAATCGGTGTTCCAAAACCGTGATGCTCCAACCAAATGTTGTTTCTTTTAATCTCATTATGCTAGTTCTGAATCACCTGGTTCACATAGTCCCAGTCTCTACACAAATCCCATTTGCTATTTCTCAACCAAAATTTCAAAGTAGCATGGGCCAGTTCAACTCTGTTAGTAGTTGTATTTCAAAGGTGTCTAACATTATCAAGGTGTCTAACAAAGAATGTTGCTTTCAACATATTTTAACAAATCTAGATATTTTTCACACACTTTTCAAAAATGAATAACAGAATCGGCATATAGTTCTTTTGCGGAATAATTTGTTATATGATTCCATGCATCTGTAATTTTTTCCACAATCACACCCGCCTTCACCAATTTTCCACCTTCAGACTCTATTTCTTTTGTCCCTACCGCATGTTTAGCACGATTTCTCACATTCTTTGTTATATGATACTTACAAAGTAATGCATTAGAAGAAGGAAATACCTTTGCAAACGAATTCATCAATGCGGTATCACGGTCGGTAACAACCGATTTAGGAATCTCACCTTGGACCAAGTGATCGACACACCTCTAATACCCAAGTAAAATTAACCTCTTGCAAAATTTCATTAAGTTTCCAAAATCCCTCAAAATCTACTTTTGCAAAACACCTTTCAAAACCATTTCCAAACTTCTTCCAACTCAAGAAACACTTCAAACACATCAAATATGATGTATTGAAGCTATCCAAATCACTTCCATATTTATGTAACAAGGTTCTAGTGAGTTGGTCTTTGAAATCTTTGGATTTTGGAGATTTTCCTTCATTTACAAGGCTTTTCGCTCACTAGCTTGCTTGGAGGTTGTTTGGAGCATCTATTCATCATCCTAGGAACATTTGAAGATCTTGGAAGATCTTTCAAGATCTCTGGTTTTCTTATTGATTAATCTTTCTTCAAGAGGTAAACCTAAAACTCATAAATGTGAACTTTCCATTTGCATTTCACATGCTACCATGACTGTTTTTAGGGTTTTTACCATGATGCTCTTAAACTTTTTCAACTTGTAACTTGATTTTTCTTGTGATATTGATCTTGTATTATTTATACACGTTTGTTAACATGTTTAAATAATCAAATTTGTTTGATTCATTGTCTTACCATGTGCATTTTATTCTTTTTATCATTTAGATTTTTATGTTTTGTTCACAAACTTAAAAACCACATAACTTCTCCATTTTAAATCATTTTTAAGTGGTTATTTTTGAAAAATTCTTGTGTTGTAACATATTTCTATATAATGTTTAAAGAATTCTAAAACTACTATTCTAGAAACACTTTGCATTATGAGCAAGTTATAACCCATTTTAGAGTTTTCACCTTCCTATCTTTCCTTCTTTATTTCAAACATTAGGATTTCATTCTCTTTGAGTTTTTAATTTGAGATTATGAACATGGATTGTTAGATTCCTTAGGCATTTAAGTTTGAATTTCAACTTTGCTTGTACACATTTAGGTGGTTCACCTTTAAAACTTTTTTATTATCCCCATGAGATTTTGAACCTTTTGTTTACATTGTTGTGACATTGATGGTTTACATATGATATCCTTTACCTTTACCCTTTTATCCTAACCTTAGGATTAGAGTCACCGTGCTCTATTTAGCGTCCCGCCGTGGACATTCTTTACCTTTTATCCTAACCTTAGGATTGGAGTCGCCGTGCTCTATTTAGCGTCTCACCGTGGACATTCTTTACCTTTTATCCTAACCTTAGGATTGGATTCGTCGTGCTCTATTTAGCGTTCCGTCGTGGACATTCTTTACCCTTTTATCCTAACCTTAGGATTGGAGTCGTCGTGCTCTATTTAGCGTCCCGCCGTGGACATCTTTTACCCTTTACCCTAACCTTAAGATTTGAGTCGCCGTACTCACTTTTAGCGTCCCGCCGTGAACATTCTTACACCTTCCTAACCTTAGGATTGGAGTCGTCGTGCTCTATTTAGCGTCCCTCCGTGGACATTCTCTCCCCTTTATCCTAACCTTAGGATTGGAGTCGCCGTACTCTATTTAGCGTCCCGCCGTGGACATCTTTTCCCTGTTATCCTAACCTTAGGATTTGAGTCGTCGTACTCATGTTTAGCGTCCCGCCATGGATATTCTCTACCATAACAATCTCAACTTAGATTCAGGATCACCGCACTCCATGTAAGTTCTTCCCTATGAATGCTTACATCCCCTTGGAACCTTGACCACAGTTAAGAGTTCCTCCCCCCTGAAAAGGGGAACTACGAACGCTCTGATTTCTCGATGAAAATACGTAGGCACAAGATGCGACGTCTTGGCGAGCCAGCTTCCAACTAACAACCAACCTTTTCTTTCTCCCTCACTAACAACTAACTTCCTGTTAACATTTAAAACTTAGAATTGGAGTCGTCGTGCTCTATTTAGTCGTCCCGCCGTGGACATTCCTCCTGTTTACATTTACAACCTAGACTTGGAGTCGTCGTGCTCTATTTAGTCGTCTCGCCGTGGACATTCCCTTCTTTGCTAACTTAACCTTAGTTTAGAGTCACCGCACTCTATGTAAATGTCTCGCCGCAGACATTTACTTTCCGTTTGGAACCTTGACCATAGTCAAGGATTCCTCACCCCTTAGTTAGGGGAACTACGGTTGCTCTGATTCCATTCCCGTCAGGATACGTAGGCACGAGATGCGATTTCTTGGCGAGCATACTTTACCAAAATTTGTACATACTTTATACTTTAGATCTTTACCCTGACACATTTCCTTTAGCAAGCAAACTTTAGCAAACACAAATATTAACAAGAGGTTCCTGTAGAGTATTACAGATGTTTAGGATGTGAAATACCTATCCTAGGCATAACTAACCCCCGAACCTTTAGATCTCTTGTTGCTTAGCTTTAAGCTTTGCTTTTTGCTTTGCATTTTTATAGGTTTTTTTTTCTTTAAACCTTTCCTTTTTTGATAAATTAAAGTCCGGTTGTGAATTTAAGAATTAAATATTCAAGTTAATCGATAGCTTGGTATCACGATTCTCAACGCAACAACACCTCTCAGAATTGTCTTTGTTAAGTATACAAAAAATACGTACGTAGATATATCTCCAAAATCGAAAGACATGTATAAGGTGCAATAAGAAATTCTCCAAATAATACTTATAGGACCAAGAAAAAAAATCAAAATAAAACTTGAAAGAAAAAGAAAAGACAATCTAAAACTTTAAACAAAATTAAGAGACTTTCTCCATCCACATTAGTTTTGCCAAAATTTAAAATTGTCTTTATCAATTTCAACTTGGGCAGGTTTTTATTAAAACTTCATTGTTACGTCTACAATGAAAGTGGTAATCCGCAGATCCTGAACTTTATCTTAAGGAAAAGTTGGCTTACATTTCAAGAAATTAAGTGAATCTAGTCCAACCATGTGTACTTGTTCCAATTGAAACTTACAGCAGAAGTTACCCTTAGAAATATAGTAATTTTTATCCTCAGACTATGTACTCTAGTGCTTAGTTATTACTGTGGCAATTTACCAAGTTCAAGCACAGATTACTCCTTATCATTGAAGTAATAAAAACACACATTTACACAGGAATTTGGACATTGAGTTTAAAATCAGCCGACTCAAATTACATCTTTGCAAACTAATTTTACAAACACTCTCAATGATTTGAGATTTTACAAAATTTTCTGCTTGGACACTTTCATCAGAAGTTGATGAAGTGATGTCAGCAATAATAAGGGAACTCGAACTCCTCCAAGTCTTGGCTGTTTCCTAAAGAGAGAAAGAATGAAATTAAACAATATTATGGCTGTTTCCTAAAGAGAGAAAGAATGAAATTAAACAATATTATGATAAAGATGTCTATACATTTAAGCATCCCGCCATGGCAGTCAAGAACTCAAAATAAGGTCGAACTTCCACAACAAATTCACCAAAGTTTGCAATAGCTTATTTAGGTCATTCCCATCAGTTGGCGTGTCAAATCAGCATGCAATGCATGGCCACCCTGCATATAGCATCAATTGCATTAAAAATCATACTCGTCTCAAGTCGCACAAAATACAGCACCAGCCCTTGAGACCTATGAAGCACAGACACCCGAACACGACCCTGACATTTACACGGCGACGCTGATAATAATTTGAAAAGATGAATAAATTAAACATAATCGCAGGTGTTGGTGCAGGTGTCTGTGCTACATAGCTTGAGACGCGTTAAAAACCAAACTGATAAATCAAAATATATAGTATGAGGAGGAGACTGAAAGGCACAGACTTTGTAAGCTACTATGTGTGCCACAGGGAGTCCTTGATTACCAAACTGAGCTAAGAGTGAGAGATCGCCAATTAGATCTAAAATCTTGTGACGGCATGGTTCATCACTGAAACGAAGAGGTGGGTTCAACCAACCTTTACTAGTACTGCAAAAGAAAACAGTAATAATTATAAAACGACATACATATATATATATATATATATATATATATATATATATATATATATATATATATATATATATATATATATATATATATATATATATATATCATCAATAGAATAAGAAAAATATAACAGAATTCATTGGGTTGGTAATAGAAATGAAGGTCTATTTGAATGGTAACAGATCCCTTTATATTATAGTGACTACAATGGGATGAAAAAAACAGAAAGCCAATAGAAATGAACTCAGCCAATTTTAAAAGTGACTTGTCTCTTCCAAATCCTAACCATTTCCCAACTCTTCTCTCTCCTTTGTCACTCTTCAACTACCAATCCCCACTCACATACAGAACCAAGACCACTAATAGACAAATCTCAACTGCTTATTGGTTTTATTCTTTGAGATACAACTACAACAATCAAACTTTATCCCACTAAATGGGATCGGCTACATGGATCAAACTATGTCATAATATTCTATCAAAAACCATGTTTCTATCCAACCCGTTAATCTCAAGATCATTCCTAATTTCTCTTATTTATTTTTTCTCTGTCTTTCTCTACCTCTAGTTGTTTGACTATCCTCCATTTGATCTACTCTCCTTCCTTAATGCATTAAGGATCTTTTCTCTGCATACCCAAACCACCTAAGTGTATGTTTGGAAAACATTAAAACCACGGTAGCACAAAAGCTACACTTACCTGGTTCTCAAAATTACTGTGAAATAGGCAACAAACGTGCAGCAGCAGTGGCCCACTGAGTTGCCAAACATAGTTAAGTCTATTTCCTACCATCTTTTCTTTTATGGATGTTACTCCAACACTCTCTAATATTATCATTTCTAATCTATCTTATTCTTTGAGATAAGGGTATAAATTTATCATATGAGTCATGCAAAAGACTCAACCATGTCTTACATGAGAAATTCAATGCCTATGAAAACTTTAGAATGGTAACCAAGTTATAAATACCATAAACAAATAGTGCCATACTTTGAGGAATTAATGACCTTCATTAAGGATCTAACGCTTAGATATATAGTCCTACTTTCATAGACCTAAGCTTAGAGATACGTTTACATAAATGTGCATAACTGCATGCATGGAATTTTGGGAAAATGCTAAGGAGTCATTGTTGCTGCATAAACTATGCTTCACAATTTAGTATAAGCTATTAAAATTTGATAGGTAGCTATTAGAAAGGCGAGCATTAGGAATGGTTATAGTACAAACTTGTAACAAAGAAAATACCTGCACACAATGGCATTTTCTAGAGAACCCCCTTTGATAAGTCCAGCACTGCGCATTTGCTCAACCTGCAAGATATTTTAAAGCAGGGTATCCAGTGTTAGTTGCATGGCGTCAAACATGTACAACTAAACTAATAGATTCAACAGGTAAGAAAAGAGGAAAAAGATTAACGGTCAATCAAATGATGGATTTTATTGATATAATTCCAAATTTCAATCAAAGTGACCAGAACCATTAGAATACACCACTGATGAAGACTGGCCTGAGAGCTCCTCAACAGTGTTATCAATGGTGGATTAGGGAAGTCAGCCAAAAATCAACCATATAAACAATTGTGTTGCAGTCTATGGCAGAAACATGGCAGATATAATAGGTGTTGCATCTAGCAAAAAATCTACCATGCTATAATGCCATGGCGGAAATTTGACAACACTGCTCCTCAGCAACTTTACGAAAAATTGGTTTTTGATGGAACACGGTAGTTTCAGTTATCTATTTGGCCGACCCCACTTAGTGAAATAAAGCAAGGTTTTTGAGACATCTGATTAAACTTACAGCCTAACACATACATGTGACATCTAAAATAATAAATAGTTTTCCACTAAATAACACATGACAACAAAAACAAGCTAATAACTAAACTACAATACAAGTGGATGAACTTCATAACTAACCTCCTCATAGATGCAGAAGGTTCTTGACGATGCTATTTGGATGGAATAAACCAAATCATCCAAGGGGGTAGTAGAAAACCACTGGCAGCCAATAGCAGGTGCCTGCAGCCCATTATTCAATGTCAGCCAATAGCTATACAAAACCTTTTGAATGCAAAAGTTTAGCTGATTTGTTCTTTAGTATTCTTTCGGAACAAGTTAAAGTTCTGATTCTCATGCAAGGGTAATCTTGATGGGGAATCAACTTATAATATTCTATTGCATTATCAATCCTAAGGAAAAATTGTTACTACGGCTAGTTTTCACAAATGCTCAAAACTAATAAATTTGATATGTTCTTGGAAAGACTTCCAATAGGAAAGACTTTTAAAAAATTGTAATGGTTTTTAGTCCAATAAACAAAACTTCAAACTGCTATACATACGTTAATACCATATTTGGTTTCCACTTTCTTTTTCATTTTCCTTGGGTAGCTTTAACTGAGAATTAGTTTTTGCAATAATACAATGGCATCTTTTGATTTATGTGGCTAATCCCACCTAGTTGGAAAAGGTTTTAGTTTTTGTTCTTGTTGTTGGAAGCTTTAAGGTTGACACGTTGGAACACAAATTGTGTATTGTGGTTGCGTCTCCTCGGTGCTTTCTGTGTGCCGCATACTAGTTACTGGCGGAAAAATGAAAAATGCAAGATAGCAGAAACAAGTCCAATAAGAAACAGGGAAAGAAAAAAGATGAAGATTTCCTTAACTAAAAAGGACTGAGAATAGAAGCTTGTGGTCTATTTCTCATAAAGAATTAGTATTAAGTACAATCTCCTTTGAAAAACGTGTAAAATATATTATTTCACTCTTAGAAAATTAGGTAACACACACAGGAAAGTAGATGGAAATCTTTTTATTTATAAATGTCCAATAAGGATAGTGTATTGAAGAAAACAGAAAGTATATGAAAATCTTTTAATGGCATGTACTAGAAAAATCTTGAAGGATATTCTCAATCCAATGTATCTAGATGCTTACCTGTGGAAAGTTTATGCCATAAGTTACTCGAGCCACCTCTGAGGGAAATGCAGCAATAAAAGAATCATTCCTCCAAACATGCACTGGTTGATTCACATGTGGAGCAATTTTCTCACAGCTTTTTCCATCAATATCAGTTGCTGTCTCTAAACCAACTTCTTCCAAGGCTTCCACCCATTCCCTTGACGACCCATCAAATATAGGAATCTGCACGAGAAATTAATGAAAACAATACTATTACTTCCAAGAACAAAATGTAGGGGACGAAGAAAAAGATTGAGATTTTAATTATAGATTATTGTCTTTCCACAAAAATTGCAAATGGTATCTTTAATTTGATGAAACAAAGCCTAGGAAAATGGATATCAAAAATACCAACTCTACTATCCTTATAGAACTAAACACAGTACAGCCATTATCAGAGGTCTATAGTAGCACTACGAAGGCCTTTTCTTATATCATATATGAAATACATGAAACTGTAACATCTCATATACAATGAAGACATTTGGAAGAGTTCATTCAGAGCTCATTTGTGTTTATTAATTATATCATGGCATAAACACTTATATTTTTTATAAAAGCAGTGTTGTTGATGGTGGTTGCAGTCCATGGCAGATAACCAAAATCCCTTTATACAGGCTGCTTTGCGGCACCGTTACAGCTAATTTTTTTGCAATATCAACGGATATTTACTATTGCAGCGAGCCCAAAAACCACCATGTATATCCGCCATGGCGGATATTTGATAACACTGAATAAAAATAACTTATAACATCTCCATTAGTAGTTTCTAACTTATTGAAAAAACAAATACTTAAAAAGAGTTTACTTAAAAGCACCTCTTATCATATTTGTACCAAAACCTTGCAAAAATCAAGATGTGCATATATGGACATTTTGTTGGTTTCAGCAACAAGGTTCAAATTCAGTATAAGATTCAATAGAATCGGAGCTAATGAACAAAATCAATCAATAAATTCACATTGAATTATCTTTTTACCTCGGCCTCGTTATCTTGATCATCCAAATTCTCTACCTCAATCCTACAATTATCAACACCAGCAGCTTCCAACGCAGAAAGCAAATGCTCAACAGTCCGAATTCTCAAACCATCTTTACACAAAGTAGTACAAAGAGGCGAAACCTGAGCAAATTCAGCAGAAGCAGGAACCAAATTGGATCGAAAATCGAAGTACCTTCCTTGACCTGCCAATCCAGGACACAATCTTACCGTCGAAGCCTTTCCGGAATGCAGAGAGATTCCCTTCCGCTCCACATATCCTGCTAGGGTTTGTTGAAGCTTCCCGGTCTGCACAAAAAATCACGATAATACAGTTCTGTTTGGTTACGGAGAAATGATTCGAAGTAGGTGCGTTTAGTGGATAGTTGAAATTTGAAATGAACCAAACAGAGAGAGGATAAGAGAGAGAGAGTTCGAACGGGCTTCCAGGTGACGAGTTTAGATGATCGGAGAGCGCTGAGAACAGTCATTGCATTTGCAGCGAGTCAGGGGATTCAACAGCTGAGCCAAGAGTACTTTTTTTTAAGGTTTTTATGAAATTTAAAATTTTGAAGGTTTAAATTCCTTATATATTTATTTTCTTTATAACTGACTTAACGAGACTATTTATCAATATCTTTATTTAGAAATTAAGCTGAATTTTTTTTATGTGATAGCTGAATCCTTGCTCTTTATTTTATTTTTCTAACAAACTCACAATTATTTTTGTCATACAACATCTTTATATCAGAAAAGAAGATATTTCTATTAATAAATTTATAAATTATGTATCATGTTAAACAATAAAACGAGTCGTCATTAGGTGACGTATGTATAGATGCATATACTTTTGTAAGTTTTTTCTTTATATTCTATAGTTATATTTTTATTTTAAGTTTACGTTTTTATTCTGCAATTAGAGGGAAATGGTGAAGAAGTCTTGTGTTAAAATAGATTTGGGTTTTTAGGACGGTGAAGAGGTTAGCACTAGAAGTCGAGATAATAATAAGGATGCGAGAATGAGAATGAATTTGAATATTTGAGAAAGACACATTTTTTTTATATATAATAAGAATGGTTTAAACTTAAAGTGAGAATAACAACTGAATCGCGGTCAGCCATTTGAGGATGGCTTGGATTGATCATTTACCAAGATAGAGGCCCAGTTCGACTCTAGAGGTGTTTATCCCTAAGGAAGATAAGAGATTGTGTAATAAGTATGATTGATGTGTCATTCCTCTTCATGGGCGTTTGTTCTCTTTGATAGGTTTTTGTCTCCCTTTCAATACGTTCAAGGTTGACATTTTTAATCACTTGTTAATCACTCCTCCGCAGCTGCACTTGGTGAGTTGGGTTTACATTAAAGTATTTCAATACGGGTGCAAATACAAGGAGAATGTACCAAGTTTGATGTTCTTTTTCCATCTCTTCAAGGTTCAACGTAGTACGAAATGCTTTAGTGAAGGGTCAGGGCTTAATATCTCTTCATCAATGCGCCAAGATGTTTGACATTTATTTGGATAACCTGAAGCACTTCAGGAACCGATTCTTCCTAGTCATCCCTCTCAACGCAGAGGCCCATGCTTTAGTTAGCTCCAAACCCTTAGGCCTCTCTACCAAAGCTTAGATATATTTGTTAAGTTCTGTCATAAGAGTCACTCTTTGGTAGAGTATGGATCATATGTTTACAAGATGGTCAATTTGACTTATGAGGATATCTTCCTGAAGAGGCAATTGTTAGTAGTAACAAAATCAAACATTTGTTTGTATCATCTCCAGAGGGATTGATGGGATATTCAAAAGTCGTTTAATAATTTTATAATTATAAGTAAAGTAGTTTGAGAAGTGTATTTGTTTGATAATTAGGTTAAAAATACCAGTGAAAGAGAATAAACATTAACAAATGAAATTGAGATTGATGGAGTTACATTTCATAATCAGATCCTCATGCATTTTCCTGATCAATTATATATATTCTTAGTCATGATTAATATCATCACATATCGATTTGTGTCTATTGTTTATGTCTAAACAACAACATGAAATCAATCATATTGCTTAATAATTGATTTCTCAATGGGTTAACCAATATGATAACATTAAATTTCAACAATATATGTGAATGTTAGATCTATATTTGTGTCTATAGTTTAGTATCTAACCGATGAAAGTATTTGATCTAGTTAAGAAGAGTATTTCTCAATATTAGTTCAAAATCATTATAACAAGTTATAAGTAACTAATTCATAACAAACATTAAGAACGAATATAATCATCAATATTAACACATTACTGGAACATATATAACACCATGATCAAAATGATTTACATGAGTGTTTGGATAACTACATATAACCCCAACAAAAGAGAATTTAGCTACTCTTACTCATATTAGTTTTACAATGGTAATCGAGAATAAAGATATGAAATAGCATCCACAGTGATTTCTCGATCAGACACAACCTCCACATTTGATTCTTCAATATCTCTATTGGTAAATTTCTCTCTCAATTATATATTGTGGTTACAAAATGAATTTAACTTCAAAACTATGGAATAATGGATTTTTAGGATGAATGAAGGCGATGCATTTATTTTATAGATTTCTGTTTTGGTGTCCTTGCCTAGAGATCTTTGCTTTTCTTCATCATTTCATCTTGTCCAACTTGGCTTTCGTCGCCTTATCTCGCCCAACAAGCCTCTTTGCTCTCTAAGCGAGAAAACCATGCATTCACCCTTAATTTACTTAACCAAGGGATAGGGGTGGCAAGAAGGTTTGTAGCCCGCTAGGTCGGCCCGCACACTCGCCAAAAAATGATGAATTAAGTTATGATTTTGTGTCTGCCTATTCGTTGAGCCCGCCCCGCCTTAAGCCCGCAAAAAAAAAGTGGGTTGACTCGCCAACCTGGTTATCAAGCACTCAAAATGTTTATTTTGGTTGGTTGAAGCTTAATACTTGAATTATAGTTTTGGAAAACTTGTTGATGATTCTATTTTATACATTTACTTATGAATATATGCAATATTTTTTAAGTATAATTTGTTAAAAATATGCTTTATAAAATATTATTCTAAAAAATAAGTGAAAATTTTAACTAAAATGTAAAAATAAAAAAAATAAAAAAAAAAATGGGGCAAGCCTGCCGCCCGCCACCTTAGCGGGGTGAGCTATATATTTAAGCCCAATTTCACTTGGCGGGCTTGCCTGCCCTGCCCCCTTTTTGGCGAGCATAAGGCGGTGCGGGCGGCCCGTTTTTCCACCCCTACCAAGGGATATATGAACCGCATTTTTATTTGCTTGTCAAATGAGTTTGTCACCTATCTTTGTGAGTTGCCTTGCTTCTGTTTTGAGTATTTTGGTTTAGAAGTAATCTTTAACTACCTTTATTCAAATTTGAACTTTAAATCAAAGGCACCATCAATGACATCTTTGTCGAACTACACCTTCAAACTTAGAAAATTTCTCTAAGTCCAAACAATCATTTCCTTCTGGTACAGGGGTCACTTTGACTGGACTTCCATAACTAAATTGTCTTGTCGAAGTCGGTCATAACTTCCCAGAAATTCTCTTTCCCTTTTCTATTCACTAACTTAAACCAGACGTCAAATTTATGAGCTAACAAATTTTCCCCCAAAAATGTCATTTTTGATACCATGTGAAAAAAAAGGCATTTTTTGATAACATGATTCGACGCCACAAACAATTCGAACACGTAAATTGTTCATATACCTCAACACTATTATGACGTCAGGGTCATCATGGAACCTTTTCTAAAACATCTCCTAAATCCCACGTGAAGATCTTTTAAAATCATTACGCTTTATAGAACCTAGGAAATAGTGGGGTAGGCTGCAACTGCCACCGTCCCATGGTGAGCTCCTGGAAAGATATGTGTCCCACTCACTTCTTAACCATAAATGCTGATTTGAGAACCGCTTCCAATTCAACCTCTATAAATAGTTCTGACCTCTTTCTTTTTCACTTTTTACCTCTTCGCATACTCTCCAACTTCTTCATCCCCTTCGCTTAAAAACCCCATTTTTTTCTTAAATCTCAAGCTTTCAACAACAATGACATCATCAACCAAAGCTACCAAAGAATTTGCAAAGCACATGGAGGATACCAAGAAGCTTTCAAACCTCCGTATTTTCAACATGATCCCAGACCCAATCATGGTGGGAAATCAGTAATATGTTCCAGAACCACTTTCTGAAGAACAACACAGGATCTACAAATCTCAGATATTGATCCCTATTTCTGTTACTAGTAAGTCTTATGCTTTATTAGGACCTCTATCTGATCCCAATGCTGGCCCTATTAAACTTAAGGAATTCTTCCCTATTTACCACAAGTACAAACCCATATATCATGTTAAGAAACCTATGGCTAGAAACGAAGACCCAAAACCTGCCAACCAAGACAACCCTTCGACAGATGAAATCATTGAGTTAAGATACATGAACAATGACTTTATGGTATTTCGATCCAGTCCTTCATTCAAATATCCCTTTGACTACTTAGGCTGGCTAAAGAAATTAGAGAAAACCAAATCCCAGATCTGGAAAGATATGGGTATTTTTGACTTAATCCAACTGTTGAAAGTAAGACCTGAATATTGTTCGACCATGCTAGTATCTTCCCTATACTTCTAGGACTGTACCCACCATACCTTCTATCTTTCTTGCGGATGTCACCAACCCTCTTCGACATAGCTGCCATCACGGGGCTTAAGCCAAGTGACAATTCTTATGACCCAGACTACCAAGTCGATGACACCATATGTTTTTTTGACATCTAGAGCTGCCTATTCTACTCATATTGCACATTATCATGACAAAACAACTGATGAAGTTTCTGAAGTAGAACATATAGCTTTCCTTGCTTTGTGGTTATCCCGTTGTGTCTTTTTTTGAAGTCACTTCAGGTGGCCAAAAAATATCTGATGATGGCCAACCAACTCCATTTTGGTCACAACTTGTGCTTAAGCGAGATTATTTTGGCGAGTCTTTATGAGTCTTTGGGTGAAGGTGTTACCCAACTCAAGTGCCTTGGAGACAAAGGGAACTACCTTATTTCTGGTCCATTCTGGTTATTGCAACTATGGTTGAATGCCTCCTTTGAAGCATGCCTCCCCATCAAGAATCCCATCAACGAGAATGCCGATGAAGTGAAAACTAGGAGAGTCGAAGGACGTGTTTAGCCATGTTGACTCCTAGCGACGAAGGGTGTCACCTACAACAAACCTTCACCAACTATGTGATGATGTTCTCCAAACGTCATGATTTTATGTCGAACATGGCTCCTTTCGCCGCTCGAAGACATGGTCCTGAATGGTTTACCAGACCATTCCCATCTACAACAAAAACCCAAGAAGCATAATCCTTTGCTATATGTGAAGCTTTCTTAAATCCTAGGGCGTTAACCCTTAGGCTTAATCAACCAAAAAATCAGGTTACCCTCATTACTTATCAACCAAATCTTGTCGCTCGA